TCCCCAGACTACACTTTTTTTTTTTTTTTGGTTTTTTGAGACAGGGTTTCTCTGTGTAGCTTTGGAGTCTATCCTGGCACTGGCTCTGGAGCCCAGGCTGTCCTCGACCTTACAGAGATCTGCCTGCCTCTCTGCCTCTCGAATGCTGGGATTAAAGGCGTGTGCCACCAATGCCCGGCTTAACTTTCTTTTTTTTTTTTTTTAAAGATTTTATTTATTTATTATGTATACAACATTCTGCTTCCATGTATATCTGCACACCAGAAGAGGGTACCAGATCTCATAACGGATGGCTGTGAGCCACCACGTGGTTTCTGGGAATTGAACTCAGGACCCTTGGAAGAGCAGTCGGTGCTCTTAACCTGAGCCATCTCTCCAGCCCATATATTAATTTTTTTTAGACAGAGTATGTAAAGGCTTCTCAAGGCTGAAGAGTTCTGAGAAGGCAGGGCTGTAATCACATTTACTTTTAGGACAAAATGAGAGACTGCCCTTAGAGTAGATATCTTTTTCCTGAGGCCACCCAGTAAAACGAGTAGAGAATTAAGAATTGAACATAGGTCTCACTACTCCATGGCTGTGATTCTGAATGACTCCAGTACTTTTAAATAGACACTTAAGACCTTTCGGAGGAACGAACCATTCTGTGGTCCAGAGGGGAGAATGACTAAGGTTCTCAATGGCGCCCTTGAAGCTTTAAGACAGCACTAGTGGCCTCTTTCCGGGATCCTTAAGGCCTTCACTCCGAATGTTAAAGCTCCGCCCACTCCGGGGCATCTCGGGAAATGTAGTTCTACCTTTATTAAGATTGTAGGGTAAGTGCTATGTAGAACTTCATTTCCCGAAAGGCTACGCTCTCTGCTACCCGAGCTAGGCGATGAGCCGAAGGGACGAAACCTTCTTCTAGGGTTTTTTAAGTTCTCAGACGGAAGGAGTGACGGCGAACTGAAGCTTTTGGCTGCTCGGCGGGTCACCTCATCTGGCGGAATTGGAGGAAGAGAGCGTGGCGCCTGTAGAGCGGCCCTACTTCCGGTCGACGGGCAAAAACCTAGGGCTCTTTTCCTTTAATTGGGCGGGACGCGGCGACGCCACCGGCGTTGCTATTGGCGGCGATTGGGGGCGCGGAAACTGAACTGGCACAACTGCCGCCGCAGCTACCTCGGGTTTTTGGGGTGCCTTTGGTTCTGCCAGCCCTGCCAACCCTTCCATGGCCGGTCCCAGCCCGGTAAGTCCCTGGAGAATGGGCGCCTAGCTGCCTGGAGCAATGGCCGCGAGAGGACCGGGTGGTGGCGCGGGGTTCTGGGGTTGCTTCTCCATCTAAGGTCGGGGTGGGGCTGGGCATTGACCCATCGCCCCAAGTGCCAGGCTAAATGCTGGACCACCCGGGCGAACAAACAAGTCCCTGTCTCTGGGATTTACGGCTTAGAGAGGAAGACACAAGCAAGGCCCGACCCTTGTCGTGGCCCCGGACCAGTGTGAGCCTCGTCATCCTCTCCTGTCCTTCGCGTCTACTTGGAGGCGGCATCTTTTCCAACCAGTGGAAGCAGTAGGCCATTGGGATGCCTGAGGTGTCGGAGGCCTGCGGTATGACCTGGGTCCGACCCTGACCCCTTTTCCAGTGCAGAAAAGGACTCCAAATTGGTGTTTTAAGTAAGAGTTTGCTTCCAAAGTTCCTGGTGCTCTGGCCAGGTGGTAGCCGGTGGCTCCTGACGCATCTGAAGACTTGGGCAAAAATAGAACACAGACTCTTGACTGGCAATCTGATATTCTGTTTACATCCGTAACAACACACTGTTTTTAGGGGAGAGGAGGCCGGCATGCAGGAAACTACTCAGGGAAGAGGGCCTCCGGAAGGGGTGCTCTTCTGCACACTGAGCCTAGGATAGGCACTGCCTTGCCCTTAGTTTTCCAAGAGGTGAGGTCCTCAGGTGAGGACAGGAGGCAGAATGGGGCACTTGCTGCTTAGTTGGAGGCCGTCCTCTCTGCCCCTAACTACCACTCCATCTGTTAAAAGGCGTGGTCCTGCAGGTGTGTTGGGGGCGGAGCTGGGCACTGTGCCTCACCTTTGTTTTGTGTACAGGTTTATGGAGTAACAGTGGCTTTGCTATGCCTTAGGAATGCCCTTTCCCAAACTGGGTTCCTCGGAGCTCCTAAAATGTTTGGGGTTTGTTTGTTTTTTGTTTTGTTTTTTGAAGTTTTTGATGCTTGAGGTGGAGGAAGATAACTTACTATGGCTGAGATATAACTCCCAAAGTCTTGTATTTAGCCTTGGCTAGCCTGGAACTCACTGTGTAGACCAGGCTGGCCTAGATCTCACAGAAATTTACCTGCCCTGCCTCCTGAGTGGGATTAAAGGTATGTGGCACCTCACTTGGCCCATATTTGGTTTATTTGTTGTGGATTTATTGATTCATCTGTCTGTTCATGGTGTATTTGTTGATTGTGTACCCTTCCTTGCTGTGCTCATTTATTCTAATAGTTTATAGTGAATTCCTTAGGATTTCCAAAAACAAGATATGTATGTATATATGTGTGTGTGATGTTAAAAACACTCAAGTTATATCCTTGATATATATACATATATATCAACTAGTTATATACATAATCTAGTTATAGGAAGAGTCTTGGTCCCAGAGAAACCCCTTCCTCAGGCTTTTTCCATTTGACCTTGCTCTCTCCCTCAGGAGGACCCCTCACTGGAGAGGCATTTTAAGGGCCACCGAGATGCAGTTACCAGTGTGGACTTCAGTCTCAACACTAAGCAGCTGGGTAAGAGAAGGCATCTATCTTGTCTAAGATTTTAGATTCTAAACTGAGAAGGCTGAGTTTCTCCCTGGGAGTATTGGTATGCCAACGCTAGGCTACAGCAAGGACATGCTGTTTGGTCCTTTGTATTGCTTCTCCGTGTCAGCTTTCTGAACACTGGGCTTACTAGGTTCCATAAGCCCCATTGTGCATGAGAAGAGTATAACGCTCAGAGATGTTAGGAGCCCTGTCAGGGTCATACAGCATTTATTTATTTATTTATTTATTTATTTATTTATTTATTTATTTATTTATGCCTTTTATTAAAAAGGTTCTTTTTCGGGGGCTGGAGAGATGGCTCAGAGGACCCAGCACCCATATGGCAGTTTAAAACATCTGTAACTCTGGTTCCAGGGAATGTGACACCTTTATACCAATGCACATAAAATAAAGTTAAATAAATTATTTTTTAAAAAAGATTCTTTTTTTTAAGTTTTTTTTTATTTATTATGTATACAATGTTCTGCCTGCATGTATGCCTGCAGGCTGGATGAGGAGACCAGATCTCATTATAGATGGTTGTGAGCCACCATGTGGTTGCTGGGAATTGAACTCAGGATCTCTGGAAGAGCAGTCAGTGCTCTTAACCTCTGAGCCATCTCTCCAGCCCCCCCCCAAAAGATTCTTTTTCTCACAAAATATATCATGGTTATGGTTTTGTCTCCCTCTACTCCTGGCAGATCCTTCCCACCTCTCCTCCCATCTGGATCCACTCCCTTTTGGTCTCTCATTAGAAAAGAACGGGCTTCTAAGGGATAATAAAATACATTAAGATCAAACAAAAACTCTCATATTAGAGTTGCATAAACAAAACAAGGAAAAGAGCCCAAGAAGAAGGCACTAGAATCAGAGACACACTTGTTCTACACACTCAGGAATCCCATAATGACACTAAATTGGAAGCTGTAATATATATACAGAGGCCTTGGTGCAGACCCATGCAGGCTCTGTGCTGGTCAGGCATCCTTTGAGAGATTAGGGTCTAGGTTTTCCCCTGTACATCTTGGCCACTTCTTGGGTCTGCTCTGTGGCAGGGATCCCAAACTGGCTCCTTTTCCTTGAATCTTCAGTTTGATTGTCCACAGTAATATGGTATATTTTCTTGTACCTACTACTAGTGAGAAAGTTGTTAACAAGGTCCATCTCCCAACTCCATACTGCTGTCCCTTTCTTATATACACTGGTGTTCCTAAGTAGCTTTCTGGCTGCAGATTTCTTTTTCCACGGATTAGGCTTGCCACTTTATCTTTTTTGTTTGTTTTTGGTTTTTTGAGACAGGTTTTCTCTGTGTAGCCTTGGCTGTCCTGGAGCTCATTTTATGAGGCTCATTTTATGAGGCTGTCCTCATAACTCACAGAGATCCACCTGCCTCTGCCTCCCAAGTCCTGGTATTATACCACTTCCCAGCTTGCTTCTTTATCTTATTGTTAAGGTTTCCTGCCAGAGGCTGTTGGTGTAATGGTTTGCTGTAAGCAAAAAGGGAACTGAAGTCATTTTTTTGTCTGTTCTTTCTTTTTTTTTAATTTATTTTTAGATTGTCTTATTTTATTTGTATGAATGTTTTACCTACATGCATGTCTGTGTACCACAAGTGTGCCTGTTGCCCCCAGAGTCCAGAAGAGGACATAGGCTTCCCTGGAACTGGAGTTACAGATTGTTGTGAGTTACCATGTGATTGCTGGGAATTGAACCCAGATCCTCTGGAAGAGCAGCAAGTGCTCTTTACTGCTGAACCATCTCTCCAGCCCCAACCAAGTTGGTCCTTTCAATAGTAAATGACCTTTGTCTGACTGGCTCCTGAGTATTGGGAGGACTTCGCCCTGTGCTCTCAGAGTATCAATGAGGAGACCCCACAGTACAGAAATGGCATGTGAATGGCCTGTCACTCTGGTTCCTATGTTGGCATGGAAAACTGCCAGGCCCTAGCTCTCCAAACTGTATGTCAGCAGTTATAGGGTGTGGGCACTCCCACTGGGATTCTTTCCATTGCTCTGCTGGGGATGCTGTGAAGGTAGAGCTGGGCCTGCTCTCCTGTATTCCTAGCAATGTGGTAGGTGATCAAGATTCTTGAGGTCTGAGAATCATCGTGTTACCCACTCTCCTCAGCCAGCGGCTCCATGGACTCATGCCTCATGATTTGGCACATGAAGCCCCAGTCACGTGCCTACCGCTTCACGGGCCACAAGGACGCTGTGACTTGTGTGAACTTCTCCCCATCAGGACACCTGCTTGCCTCAGGTTCCCGAGACAAGACTGTTCGAATCTGGATACCCAATGTGTGAGTTATGGGCCTCAAGGGACTAACAACGCTGAGGGACTTGGTATAAGAGCTGTCCCTCCTTGGGTCTTTACCCTGGCTTTGAGCTGGTCACAGTGGGACATGTGACCTCTGAGAGAGGCTAGCAGAGGGCTTCAGTTGGGGTTGTCTCCTTATGATGAAAGGACTCCCACAAGGGGAGAGGTGGGAGAGAAGCACTTTGTTTCTGTTGGGGAGGCTCTTGCTGTTCTGGGGAGACTGGGACAGTCAGGCCTAGAGAGGTAGAGAGAACTTTGGTGTACTTGTAGGTCCTCATGTCACTATTAGGAATCTCCTGAGTCTGGATATCTATCCTCATAGCAAAGGTGAGTCAACCGTGTTTCGAGCACACACGGCCACAGTGAGGAGTGTCCACTTCTGCAGTGATGGCCAATCGCTTTTGACAGCCTCTGACGACAAGACAGTCAAGGTGTGGTCAACTCACCGCCAGAGATTCCTGTTTTCCCTGAGCCAGCACATCAACTGGGTCCGCTGTGCCAGGTGAGCATTCCCTGTCTGGAGAACCTGAGAGGATGTAAGGGTTGTGGGGGACAGAGAGGAACTCTGAGTGTCAGCCTGTTTGGGGCAAGTTGTATAGCTTCCCTTTAGTGTCATAGCTCTGCTCCAGAGGAGAAGGGGTTACGGTGGCCAGAATACTAAGAAATCATGAAATTCAGAGTTAGGGAGCATGGAACTATCTTCCTCTGTGGATTCATGGAAGTTACTTATTCCCTAGGACAGAACCATTCTTTATTCTTGGAGGGTCCTGTTCTTAGAGGTCTTATGGTCAAGGACCTAAGAATGGAGGGGAGGGGCAGGGGGCAATCCAGAAAAGTGGGGTATTATGATCACAGTTGGCCTTTGACGGTAGGTTCCAGGACCTCCATGTGTTTTTGTTGGCCTGTTGTGTTTTGCTGATGTACTGATGTGGGGCTCCTGACCTCCTCCTCATTAGCAAGCAGTACCAGTGTGTATTGCTGCAGGCCATGTGCCTCCTGGGTGTTGTGTGTACTGTGCTGCTCGTGATTACTGTGGGCATTGGCAAGGATGGATCTCACCGAGGGAAGCCACTTGCCCAGGATCACTGAAGGTATTAGGGCAGCATGTGTAACCCTAGGTCATTCCTTCCTGGGTCAGGGAGCTGAGTCTAGTGGTGTACACCTATAAGTCTCAGGACTTGAGAGGCAGGAGGACTGCCACAGTTTGAGGCCAGCCTGATCTACATAGAGTGTTGCAGGCCAGCCAGGGCCCCATAGTGAGGCCCTGTGTCAAAACAACAATAACAATAACACAAAATGCCCAAAGAATCCCTAGATCAGGTATCAGCATGCTGGGAGAGGTGGCTGTAGAGAACATGGTGTCATATTCAAAGTGTCTGTTAGTAGTGTGACTTCTGCCCCATTCAACTTAGGTTCTCCCCTGATGGGCGGCTCATTGTGTCTGCCAGTGATGACAAGACTGTCAAGCTGTGGGACAAGACCAGTCGGGAGTGTATCCACTCATACTGCGAGCATGGCGGGTGAGTCCCTGTTGTTGTCTTCCATCTGCAGCTGCTCCTGTACAGGTCAGGGCATGCATGAGGAAGCCCAGTGGCCTTTAGGGACTGGGACTGTGGAGAGGGCAGCCCTACTTGCTGCTCTTTGGCTGACTTGCCTTTTGTAGAGCTTTGTGCTTTTCCTTTGCAGATAGACAGTTAAGTGTGGTCCCCACAGATAGAGAAACACTTCACCTAAAGTCATGCAATGATTTGGCCTCTTTTCCCCCCTTAAATTTCTAGTTCTCAGAATGCTAATGTGTCTCTCAGAGCATTGTATCAGCCCCCTAAACTGATTTGTCAATGAAAGCCTCCGGTTCTTGTAGCAGGCAGTGGCTCTTCCTTCTGTGCCACATCCTACAAGCAGGAGGAGCCTGCTTCTGAGCAGGGATTTAGCTTTTCTAAGTGTCTAAGTGGGCTGCAGCTTTACTCCTCATTCCTTAATGAGCAGGGGCCCCTTAGAGTGCCCAAGTGTCATGGATAGTGCATTGAAGGCTCTTGGCCTGTCTTTTGAAGAGAGATGGATGAGTAGTCCTTGTAGCCCAGGGGGACCTTCCCCACCCATGCCTTAGTTGGCAGGACCTGTCTTGGATCCAGCCCTGGCAAAAGGAACCCCAGAGCAATTTGACTGATTTGTTGGTTTGAAGATCACTGTTCCCACTTGTACTTAAAGCTCAGCAGTGGGCTGGCTGGGCATGTTACACACACTTGTAATCTCGGTACTGAGGAAGCGGGGTGGAAGACGAGTCTGGGCTACATAGTGAATAGTGAGCTGTTGTCTCAAAAACAAAGATAAAAAATAAAGAACCATAAGGAGAAGAGTGAGAGAGGGAGGGAGAGAAGCAGGAAGGGA